GGGCCAACACTCTGACAGTTGACCATCATCATCAGCAGCAACAGCAACTTGTGTTGTTTCCCTAATTTGCCCACACTGCCTGCGAAAATGTCAACAGCAAACTGTGCAAAATGCATTTCCCATTCTCTAGCAACTGCAACTGCAACTGGAACTGGAACTGGAACAAAAACTAGAACTGAACAGTTGAACAATTGTGGCATTTGCTGCTCTGCCCAAGTTAAATACACTTGCATAAAGCGAACCAGTTGGCTGCGGGTATAAGTACCTCTCTCTCTCTCTCTGCTGAACGTTGAAACCATCCAAATATCTATAAACATGTGTCTGGTGTCCATGTGTCGAGCTGATGCCTGATCGGCGCTCCCAGTGAAACCCATAAGAGCTATATGTACGTTTGTCAAAGCTTATTTAAAATGCCATCGAGTAGAATTCTGTCACATACAACACAAAATATCTGCAGGCTGCTGGGCTATGGTAATCAACAAATGCCAGCTTAGTGGCTTAAATTCGGAATTCTACAGAAATATTCGCCTGTAATGATGATATTACCTGGAATCAGATTATAGCATATCAAAAGTGTTTAGCAGAAAACAGAATTGCCCCAGTCAAGTTGACTCAGATATCCTCTCCCATTACTTTCTGGAGAAACTGTTGGAGTATGTATAATATTTGTAAAGTGGGATATTTCTGCAGATTAGACAATTTCGTGGAGTGCAGCGTGTTCCTTCACTGCTGCCGTTCTTCCTCTTGCAAATCAACTGTCTGCTTTTTCACTAGCACGTTCGATTACATGCATCGCAATCAACTGGCTACCTCGCCAGGACCACACTCGATATTAGTGTTAATTAACATCTCACTCAATCAATATCATCCAATACTAAGCATGAACCGATATATCGATAAGATATTCTTTTCGAATACTACTATCATCTCCGGCATATGTAATATATATTTTCTATCAACATCATAGATATCTCTCAATCTGCTATTAATATTAGTTTGGACGAGTAGTGTATTATTTGTGTTTATCTAGTTAGTCTGATTAACAAACAGCAAAATCTAAATATAATTTAAGACTTCAATGAATAAATTCCACTGCCCTAGGACTGCATTGCTGCCATTAGTTCATTTCTCCTGAGCAACATATGTATGTAGTTCAGGCAGATTCGTCCGCAATCGAGTGCTTAGACTCAAGTTTTAATTATATTTTCTTGCTAACTCAAATAGCATTACCTTGATTGATACGGCTATGAGTCACAATTAATATGGTAATTTATCGATTTTTCATTTAACATAGCGCAATTAGTAAATTGATTTGCATGCAAAAGTTCATTGTTTCAGCATCCACACAGTCTGAGCATTATAAATGCTCTTAAATGCATTAAAGCTCGACGCAATCATCTTTGACTTTCTATTAATTAAAGGGGTTTTCTGCTCGTGCAGTGCGAGTTTTCTATGTTAAATCAATTAGTTTTGCAATGTTGCTCGAATTCATTGCCGAGTAATTAGGCAGTGGAACATGCTTGGAAATCTTATGTGGTTTGCCAGCCTTAGTTAACATCACTCAAAGTGCAAGCGATTAAAGCGCTAGTTAATGAATCACAAGAGCAATTAGCAAAAGCAGAATCAACCCACGATTTACCTTTTGTAAATCAAATGAAATCTAATCTCGCCACGCATTAAATAGAACTTGGCAAAATTTATAATGAGCGTATACTTTAGGGAAATGTTTATATCTAACTTGAGTTGCTTTTCGCTGCTTTAAAGAACGTATTCAAATGTGTCTGCTAACCAGTCTTAATGTCTCTTATCGAATCTGCGTATAAGAAGTTCACTCCAAGGAGAAGACCTGCAAATATTTTTTACTGCCGCACACTGGATTAATTTCGACTTTTATGCCATAAAAACAATAACTTTTAAATGAAAGAAGGTATAAAAAATGTTTCCAAGAAGTTCTTAAAAGATGTCAAGAAACGAAAATTTACTTTAAATTAAGGAATTTTATCCGATGGAAAGAAATTGGATATTTTCCAAAGCTGCCAACAAAGACCCACAGTGCGTGGATGATTCTTTGAGTCAAGCGTCATCTACTTAAACAAATATTAGCTTAAAACACACTCACACACACATGTCAGCAAAATTGTTACGTAATTGCAAATTGTTAAAGGGAGGCAGTTAAAATTTGACAACTGTCATAAACAGACATGAAGAGAAAGACGAAAACATTGCACAGCAATGTAAAAAGGAGCGCCAGATAGAAAGAGAGATAGAGAGAGTGAGGGAGACGTATGAAGAGAAAGACAATGGGATATTGAGAGACAAGCACAGAGTGAGCGAGAGAGAGATGTACTTCCCTAAAGGATGTTGGCACAATTAGACGATTTTGTGACTGTCATGTCACTAATTTTATAATGCAAGCCGCAGGACATAAAACGCTACAAAGCCAACGTGCTAAGGACAAGTCAAGCATTCTATTATACCAATACACACACATACACACACACATATATATACATATATACACTCACGCAGTATTTCGCTTTGCGGTTCTTTCTTTGGCCTGTTTGTCGATGTTTGTGTCAAATTGCAGCGTTGACAGCTGACACGTGGCTTGGCCAAGAATCTATTTTATTGCATGCCGCATCTCTTCGACACCCACTTGCCGCATCCGGCGACACACATTCGTGTAAGTTAAGCTTTATTATGGCCTTTAATTACTTGGCCACTGGGCCCGGCCTGCAAATTTAATGTAATTTTCCGTCTTAATTGCTAGAATTTCAAAACCGTTTGTGCTTGCGGCAGTTGCCTGTAATTTTATTACATGCTTCTCTGTTCATAAATATTAAATGCCTGTTAGGTATGTAAACTGTGAATAAAGTTAGCTTTACGCAGCATTCACACATACATACGTATATTCCCTAATATACACACATGAATGCATGGACGGACACTAGATATACATACATACATACATACAAATGCTCTGGTCTGTGAAAATGATGATGTTCACACAAGCAAAAGTATGTGTGTGTGTGTGATGGGTTAATGTATGCCACTTATTTGCAACATATAACCCTTAGAGTCATCAAGTTAACCAATAACAATGCAAATAGCCCTGTATCAACACATAAAACCAGCGTTTAGCATAAGCCAGCTAAGAGTTTTTCCCATTTCGAAACTGGGAGTAGTTCCATAAACGTAGACTTTAATTGATATTGCTAATGTTGTTTCAAAAAGCTGCTGAAACAGCAACAGTTGAACCATCACCTTTCAAGTTAATTTTCTCTACTATCAAATTAATAAACTCTGCGTTAAAATACAATTCATATGTTATATACTTTATCTATAACATTAATATATTATTTATTTTTGGCAATTATTATTTATATAATATATTCTTCTTATATATTCATACATTATTTATAATTTGGATTATTTATTTATTATATATTTTGGCAAAGTAAAAAATTAATGTACTTATGCAAAAAAAAAAAAAAATAAAAATAAATAAATAAATCACAAAAGTCTGTTTTATGGCTCTAAAAATGTAAACTGAAAGTGAGCAGCTGCAGAAAATAATGAGCATTTTCATTTTAACACTAACTAAGTTTAATATACAGTTAGCTTATCCCAAATAAATAGATTAATCATTGCAAAGTACCTTATCATTAAAGTAAATTGGACTGCCTTCACAAACTCAGCCATGCACAATGCAGAGATCGTGCAAATATTGAGGAGGCCAGCAAAAATAATATCGATTGCATTGCACCGCAAT